AGCCATTACACTACCTGCGGGTCCCAAAAATTCTAAAAAAAAAAAAAAAAAAAAAAAGAAAGAAAGAGAGAAAATCATGCTGGACACTTTTGCATGTGTACCCAAAATCCTGGGAGGAGAATGAAGAAGAGATTGCAGCATGACCATCCCCACTGGGGAAAGTAGGGACCAGCAGGTGACATAGTAGTTAAGATGCTGGACTCTCACATGGCTGATAGCGTTTCAAGTCCCTTACCTAGTGGCTTGAAACTCACGCCAGGCATGTGTGCATATATGCCCAAAATCCCAAGAGGTGAATGGAGAAGGGATTACAGCATGGTCATTCACCCCCCAGGGGGGTGGACTTCTCATTTTCTCTCTCTTGGTCTCTGTGTCTCCAGCAAGCACACACGCCCTACAGCAAAAATCTCTCTTAAAAAAAAAAGTTTATTTGGACCAGCCCCATAGTACTGTGATTAAGGGATCCTGATCCCACATGACCAACCATGGTTCAAATCCCAACCCCCATAGCTTAAAAAAATGCTGGGGACATGTATGTGCATATGTGCCCAAAATCCTGACAGGATGGAGACATGGGAGAAAAGGAATTTCAGTGTGACTGTGCCCCATTGAAGGGTTTTTTTGTCTTTCTCTCTTCTCTGTCCCTCTCTCCCTCTCTAGTGAGCACATATACCCTCTGGCAATAAAAATAAAGTTTAATCACTTATTTATTCTGTGAGAGAGAAGGAGAGGGAGGGAAGGAGAGAGGAAGACAGAAAGACAGGCACCACCAGCAGTGTCTCCATGCCATGATCCAACCCAAGTCTCAGCTGGTCGGATTCCAGGCACGTACGTCTGTATCCAGAGTGCATAGGGAGGTGTTGGCGATATGAACCCAGAACTTTTCCCATGTAGGTCCAGTTGCATTACCACGATGCTACCACCTGGTCCCATCAACTTTACCCTCCAGGGTACAGATATCCAGCCCCTAAGACCAGGAGGCAGTAGATGAAGCCTGGTAGTCAAAGCCTTTTCTGAAATATTTAGTCTTGGATGATTGGCAACTGGTCAAAAGGAGAAAAACCTACAAACTTGGGCATTATGGAACTGACTAAAAAGATTATAGATTCCAGAGCATTGGGCACGGTTGGGAAGACTGAGGGGACAGCACTTGGGGGCTGCCATGGGCAGTGTCCTTGTAGTAGCCTGGGGCCCTCCCGCCTCCTGATTGGCACTGTTTTCCCCCTCCTGCACCTTTCAGAAGACTCGGGCAGCAGCCTGTTCAAGGACCTCAGCAGTGCACTGGCAGGCATGCCTGAGGTCAGCCTCAACATGGACACCCCATTTCCACTGGAAGAGGAGCTCCAGATTGAACCCCTGAGCCTGGATGGACTCAACATGCTAAGTGACTCCAGCATGGGCCTGCTGGACCCCTCTGTTGAAGAGACGTTTCGAGCTGACCGACTGTGAACAGAACACAGTGGGCAGAAGACGCGCGTCTGAAACAGCCCGGGGAGAACAGAGGGAGTGGAGCCAGTGAGCACCCTGCAGGGCTTAGTTATTTCAACACAGGAGGAACCGATCCACAGCCTAGGCCTTCACATGAGGTCCTGTCTCAGGCACAGTGGCTCCTTAGACCACACCATCCTGTCTGCCTCTCGGGCCTATGTGCAGACCATATTGCTACAGGCAGGCACTTTGGAGCTTCTGAGGAACTGGATCTCTGTGACCATCACATCTTTTGACTGGCCATTTTGCCAGTCAGTGTGTAAAGTAGAAAGTCCTGTGTAGCGGGAGGCTGCAGTAGCATTGTATAGTGCTCAGAACCACTGATCTCTTCTACACTGAAGGCAGAGGCTGGGGTGAGAAGGCTGTAGAGTGGCTCAGCCTTGAACGGCAGTCCCAGAGCACCATGATGCCTTCCCAATCTGCCTGTGACCATGAGGCCGCTCTGCTGTGGACATTCCACAGCTTGGCAGAGAGCCTGTTCTCTCAGTGCCTTAATTACATACAAAGAAGTTTTACCACAGTCCAAGGATAGGCTTGAGTCAGGCCAACTGAATGCTGCCCATCTTCTCCCAGGTCGTCATCTCTTCTGCAGCTTCAGTCCACCTCTTTGTGCACTGGGGAAAGCAAGACTGTTCCCCTCAGTCACTGAGGAGGGCTCTGGTGATGGAAGAGCCTGCAGAGAACAGTGCTTCTCTGTGGAGGAATGAGCAGGGGACTGTGAGTGTCTTGTGGACACACAGCGTCCTCTGGACAAGCATAGGTCTCCCTCCCTGAAGCCATCTGGGGGAACTGCAACAGGTCCTAAGCAACCCCGCCCAGTGACTGAGCTTCCCTGCCTCGCCCAAGCTACTCCTGTGTGGTTTGGGAGTTTACTGTAACTCCTAGACCATAGGCTCCTTAGGGCAGGGACTGTGCCTTACTCATTGTTGAACCCCTCATACCTAGTAAGTGCCTGGCACGGAGCAAGTGCTGTGTGACTACGTGTGGAATGTATGAATGAATGAATGAATGAACGAACGAACAAATGAATGAATCTGTCTTGCTATAAGGCAGTCTAATATGTAGCTGTCCCCTTCCCTGCAAATCTTCTCAGAGTTGTAGCTTTTCTAACACTCGTGCCTATGGCTCAGTTCAGCACGCACTTTAATATGCTGTTAACACTAGGCAGTCAAATCCACGCGTAGATAGCACCCATTCTCTCCCACTGGCATTCCATTACAGGTGGGTAGAAATGGTCTTCTGAGTGCAGCCAGGATGGGTGACCCATGTGCTGGGTCCTAAGGGTCCTGGCTAGGCCCCCACCTCCAAGGATTTCCCCCCTCAGATCCATGTCTTGCTCTAAACTGCTTTTAAATTTCACTCTTGGAGGCTGAAGAAATAGATTGTAGTGAAAAGAAGGCCTGATTCATGGAACCATCCATCGTTTGTCACTAGTGACTTGCCATGAAATAATCCTACCACCACCTGCCTAAGTCAGAGGACACAGGCCAGTCCCTGAACAGGAAACCCAGTGGGTAAGTTGAATGGGGCCAGAGGGGATCGTGTCTACAGAGCACCACAGAGATGGGTCTGGGGAGAAGAACCCTGAAGGAGAATGGAAGATGCTGGAATCATGGTTTGGACAGCATTGCCTTTCCAGAAGTGGGTGGCCCGGCTACTGTCAGCCAGCAAGCTCAGCGGCACAGTGAGGATCTGAATCTGACTCATCTGTCCCTTATGGCAAGAGGAGACTTTGTCACAGACCCTGACTGGTTGGCCTCTTCAGACCTCATCCCATTTCCCTTCTGTCTTTGGAGACCTTACCCTAATCTTTCAGACAACTGGGGGTATGCCAGTCTGCCTTCCTCTGAGATACAAGTGTTCCTGTTTCATGTTGGCCCAAGTCTTCTGTGGAATTAGGAACTCAAACTAGAATCCTCCTTGCCTGGTTTCTGGCTCAGAAGGAGCTGTTAGCCTTCTCTGGCAATTCTTCTTCCCAGCTCTTTGTTGTATAAACCTCATAGAGGGGTGACTTCTGTATAATGCTACCTAGCACCCCAGGGAGCTGAAAGCGGGACCGGTGTCCAAGGCCCTCCTCCCCCAGTCTGAGCTTGTCTTTCAGCAGGGAGCGGTACTGTCACTTTAAGAGTTTCGTGTTTGAAAAATAGGAGGTCCTACCATAATCCACTCTTCACACAGTGCCTTAACCAGGGGATCATTGTGTTGGGGTTCCAGTTCTTTGCACAGCAGCCCTGCCTTACAAAGGGAGACCCCCAGATCTCCAAGTGAATTGCACTGCCCCTGGGGCATTCTGCCACTGTCTTGAGAGTTGGAGACTTCTCTGGGGGACAGTTTGTTAGGAGGAGCATGATGATGACAGTGTGGTTTATCACTGAGCTAAGTTTGTTAGGTTCATCAGTTCAATCTTAACTTGTGAAAAGGTTCTGGGCATGGGACCAGCAGTTGGCGTAGTGGCTATGTCACTGAACTCCCATGTAGTCTACCGTGATTTGAGTCCCAGACCTGGTAGCTTAAACTCAACGCCAGGCGCGTGTGTGTGCATGCCCAAGATTCCAAAAGGAGAGTGGAGGAGAAGGGATTGCGGTGTGGCCATCCCCCCGGGGGCTGATTTCTCGCTTCATGTCTCTCTGTCTCTCTGGCAAGCACATGTGCCCTATGGTAAAAACAACAAAAAAATAGGTTCTGAGCATTCTCAGACCCATTTGCTCAGGCGGGGGCAAGGACATGCCTGGCTCACTGTTGCTCACCTGTCTTCATGGCTGCCTCTGTGGCTGGTCCTTGGCATTCAAGGTTACTGCATACTTCAGAATCAACTATTTCTCAATACATTGTTTTGTCACAAGAAACCCACCATTGAACTACTCTCATTTACTAACAGTTAAACAGCATACAACTGAAAACCTGTCCATGTTTCCATCTTTCTTTCTGTGTGATTGTGGGTTTTAGGGCAGAGGACATTAGAACATTGTCTTGACCATGTTAGGATCAACATGAATTCTCCGTCCTACTCCATTTCTCCCAAGTCTACTGTATATTCCCTGAGCTGAGATGTTGGTATTCACGTCCACACACCTGTCTGAAGACGTTTCCCATCGTGACTCTGCAACGCCTCTGATTTACGCATGGGTGGTTCTAGGTGCGTTTCCACTGCTTCATGGATGGGACCATCACAGCGACTAATCAGACTTCCTGCCAGTGTCCTAACTCCCAGGGCCCCTTGTTAGATTATATTTAAAGATGGGAATTTGTATAAAGTAGCTTTCAAGTTTTATAATGCGTCATTTTACATCTTTCGTAATTAAAAGCAGCACAATAAGATTGTACCTGCATTTGGTGTCTTTTTTCGTCCTCAGGTAAAGTGAGCTGGTGGGAGCTTGGCTCTCCCACCTCCTCCTGCCCAGCTCAGCTGGTAGATGCAGCTTTCTGGTCCTCCGTGAGGCAGGTACTGCACCAGCCCTTTGCTCAGGCATTCCTATCATACACACTGGGACACACCGCTCCTTGGAAGTCCCATATCTGACCCTAATTTCCAGAGCCCCCATTTCTGCTCTGATCCACACATGCCCTGTTCTCTGTCCCTTATTCCATTTCTCAGGCTTCTTTCCCAGCCTGGTCTGCTAGGTTGGTGCCTCCATGACATCCTCAGCACCCTCCACCTGCTTCGACCTTCCAGAAAACTCAACAGCCCAAACTGCCCACTCGCCAGCCCTCTCCTGCCCTCCACCGTTGTACCACGCCCTCTTCTCTCTTCTGCTCTCCTGACTTCTCAGTTCTTGCCTGTGTCATTGATCCGATGTCCTCCAAGGACTCATTGCCATCTTGCAGACCTCTGCTTAGCCCTCCCCAAGGGCTTTTTCCCATCAGCCTATGAAAATGCCTGTCTCCTCCTTCCTGAAAAACCCACCCTTCCTCAACCCTGTCTTCTTGAAACACAGCCCTGTCTCCTTCCTTTCCTGGAGAACTAACCCAGACTCACCTCCATTCCCACCCCGAATTCGCCCACATCTCAGTTCCAAACTCTCTGGCCCCATTCTGTCTGTCCAAGCTCAGTCCTCCCACCTGGCCCTGCCCGACATGTAGATCTTTGGCCACTCCCTTTCCGCCAGGTCCTCCCCAGCTCCAGTAAACTTCCTCTCAAGTCACATATCCTTCTCATAATGTGCTTCCTCCTCCTCCACAGTCTTCCTGGAATCAAGTATCCCCAGGCCAATTTGTCCAGTCCTCCAAGCTGATAACCTTCACATTTGCCCCCCACCAGCAGCTCAGGTTCATCTCCACTCCACCCACACCACCTGCTGCTGGTCCTTTGGATGTCTGAGTACCCCTATTTTCTCCCCCTCAACCTTCAGCATCCTCCCATGTAGCTCCCTCCTCATCTCTGCCCCACTAGTTAGCCTCCAACTCCCATCAAAAATGAGCAGAGCAACAAATTTTACTAAATCTCTCTGTGCCTGAGTGTCCTGTCTAAACGGGACATTAAATACCCCCATCTTATAGCATGAAGATCAGATGAACTCATACAGTTTGAACACTTAGAATCGTGTGTAGTACACAGTAAACACTAAATGTCAATCATACATATTTATTATTTGTTGCATGAATCTGCTACCCTTTCAAAGACAAATTTGTCCACAAGATGGACAAATCTTTAGAAACATTGAATTTATATACTTGTTTTGAAATACCAAATGTGAGACCAGCAGATGGCGTAGTGGTTACATCGCTGGACTCCCACATGGCCGACTGTGGAGGACCTGGTGGCTTGAAAATCACTCCAGGTACGTGTGCGTATGTGCCAAAGATTCTGGAAGGAGTATGAAGGAGAAGGGATTGCATTGTGGCCCTACCCCCTGGGAAGTGATTTCTCACTTTCCTTCTCACTGCCTATCTCTCTCCAGCAAATGCACGTACCTTAAGGCAGAAGTCTGTTAAAAAAAAAAAAAAGTTAGCCCTGATAAGAATGTTTTAAATCGCTCTTATTTGGTTCTATTTGCTTAATGAGTTCTGTATCATATGCCTCAGTGGAAAACAGGGTAATAAGCTAGTTGTGTGTGGCTGTGTCCCAGTGTGGACACTAGAGGGAGCTGAAAGTACAAAAATGGCTCTCAGGAACCGGAGACACCAGCAGGAGCTCTCTGACCTCTCAGATCTCACCTGTAGACTGGATTGCCGGTGGTGGTCAGAACTGAATGCTATGTTGATAAAGAGTAACAGGTGACCACCACAGATTTATCAGACACTGTGAGGCACACATCGTCATAGCACCCTGAAAAGAAGGCAAGGCAAGGATGATTTCTTGGAGCTGTGGAAGAAGAAACAGGCCCAGAGAGGCTCAGGGTCACCCCACCCAACAGTGAAGGCTCAAGGGTCTGAACCCAGGTGGACCCGACTCCAAGGCCTCCTGACTGTATGTCTGCCCTTCCCTGCCACAGCACCTGATTCCCAAGGTTCAAAAGTACATCCAGAGGACCAGCAGTTAGCATAATGGCTATGTCGCTGGACTCCCATGTAGTTGACTGTGGTTTGAGTCCCGGACCCCGGTGGCTTTCACTCACCGCAGGTGCGTGTGCGTGTGTGCCCAAGATCCCGAGAGGAGAATGGAAGAGAAGGGATTGCGGCGTGGCTCCAAAAAGAAAAAGAAAAGAAAAAGTGCATCCAGAAGTGTCCAGTCAACACATTTCTGTTACATGCACTACAGCTGGACCACCAATGAAATGAACTGCAGCCTTCACTCTGCAGAGTGCTCTGGGCAGGTCTGGGAATGATCACTGGGGACCAGACCCCCTACTGCCCCGTGCCGCACTGGTTGAAGAGTGCTGCATTAGCAAACTGAGGGCTTTGACAAATGAGCACATTTGCTTTCTTTTCCAGAAATGTATTTCAATTGTTTGTTTGTTTGTTTCCAAAAAAAGCTTCGTTTTCATAATAGTGTATGCTCATTATAAGAAATGTAAGTAATACTGATGAGTATTGAAAACAAAATTTTCAAGTGGCCCAGAAACCAGCAGCCCAGAAAACGTCATGGCTGACACCCAGAGAACATCAATGGAGCCTTCTCTATAAGCCACTCACGCAGAGGAAAGGGCAGGTAGGTGGCTGGAAACTTGATAAAAATGGGCTTGTGGTCCATGCTCTTTAGAAAAAGTATTTCCATTGAACCAAACAAAAGAAAACCTAAATGTAATAAAAGAAATAGAGGAGCTGCAAATAATTACACAGCTTCTTTTATGTTTCTGAATTATTTTTCTAAAGGCAAAAAAATTAAGCAGCTGGATTTATTCTGTCCACAGGTTTCCACTGTGAATAGCATCGCTTGACAACCATGATCTAGGATGAGGAAATGAGCTCACCAGCACTTCCTAGCTCCTTCCCCCTCCCAAATTTTGTGAGTTCATTTTTTTACATTGTCAAGGTTTATACTATTTACATCCTGTCCCGTAACCATCGTTCCCACAATTGTTCAGCTCCATCCCGTGAGTGTGGATGCCCTGGTCGTTGCCTGTCCTTTAAGAATGGGTTTTCCATTCCTGAGTTGTTTTCATTTGACTGCCTTGACTAACCAGAGAGGGGACTGTTACCTGTAAGGAGCACCCTGCAGCCATCTCTCAGTACCTTGCAGTGACCATCACGGCACATCTAGCCCACCACATGCTGACTTTGGGCTAGAGAGCAATTTTTTAATTCAAAAATGTCTGCCTGATCATCTCATTTGTATGAATGAAATAATGGACCTTGAAGTTTAAAGAAAAATCTAATTTGAAACCACAAGAAAAGAGAAACTGGTTATATGAGTGTTTAAGAATTAGTGATGGGACCAGCAGTTGTGTAATGGCTGTGTTGCTGGACACCCATGTGGTAGACCGTGGTTTTAGTCCCAGACCTGATGGCTTAAACTCATGCCAGGTGCGTGTATGTGCATGCCCAAGGTCCTGAGAGGAGAATGAAGGAGAAGAGATTGTGGTGTGGCCTTCCCCCCGAGGGGTGATTTCTCACTCTCTGTCTGTCTCTGTCTTTCTGGTGAGTGCACACACCCTATAACAAAAGCCTCTTAAAAAAAAAAAAAAAGATAAAATAAGAAAGAAAGAAATTAGCAATGTAGAGATTGAGTCAAGACATCAGCTTGAGCCCTTGTTCCAGCTTCCCTGTCCCAGCGCATCTCCAAACATACCTGAGAAAATAGTGTATTTTAAAACTCTGTAGTAGGACTAACAACTGCAGAGGGATGTCCTTGTTATAAGAACTTATGAGGAGTAGGGCAGGCCCATGAAGAAGTGCTGCACAGAGGAAGCCAGATCCCATGTGACTGACCAGAGTTCAAATCCTGACACCATCAGCTTCATGCTGGGTTTCCATGTGTGTGGCCACGATCCTGCCAGGATTAAAAAGTGGAGAAAAAAAAGATTGCAGCTTGACCAGAGGGTTGCTTCCCTACCCTGTCCCTGGTGTGTGCACATGTTCCTTGTCCCACAGAAAGTAAAGAGAATAAACTTTAAAAACATGAAATATGAGGAATAAAGGATCCTGGAAAGTGAAAGGCAGCTAGATGAA